GTTTTAAGGAAAGTAATTAAATGCTAGAAGAAAAATTAAAAACGATCAATTTTTAAGGACAATGCGAAATGTTGTCAACTTCTTAACAGCAGAAGTTTCAAGTTCCCTTTTCAACTTCAAATGTTTCCAACAAAAATCTAAAATTAAAACTTTACCCATCCGAGTCTAGCTAAATTTTTTTCATTTCATTTGTTTGCATCTTTGGCTTCGGATTCGGCTTGGCCATAAGACCAAGTTCAAATTGCGCGAAAATGCCAGCTGCAGAAGCCCGAGAAGAGGAAGAAGTCGGCATGACCCGCTGCACTAATGTCACACACTCAAGCACACCCACACACACACACACACACTCGCTCAAGAGCACACGCATACAGCGGCAAAAGCACTGGGAGAAAATAATTGAGGGAGTCTGCAGACCAGTTTTTCCCAACTCAAGCGTTGCGCCAACTGCAAACAAACATACAGAACTAAAGCTGGCTTTTGTGCACTCAAAAAAATTATAAGCAGTTTTAAATTCTTTGAAGATTTTCAAAGTAAATGTTTCTTACATACCAATTAGTTTTATAAATAAGTTAATAGATCTTGTCGTTCAGACGATACATATAAAATCAATTTATATTGATTTTTATATTTAATTCGAAGTCTTCTTTTCGAAAAATATTTTTATTAATTCTTTAATTTGAATCAATTTAAATTAAAAAATATTTTTGCTTAATATTAATATTTATAAATCAGAAAATCCGTTTTTATTTTGTACTCAAGCCAAATTAAGCAATTCCTCTTAATTTCTCTCACTGCACGTGTGTATCTGTGTGCAAATGTAAAGCATAAGATAGACAATTACACTTTTGCCACTGCAAGAGGGAGATGGCGCGAGGCAGCCAGAAAGAGAGAGGGCATTTAGATAAACGCCAAAAGGTAAATGAACTTTATCAACCGAACAAGAAACGAGGTGCACACCTACACACCCACACACCCACACAGCCACCACACACACCCACGAACACACACACACATGCACCACTGCAATGCTCATTGTGTGCGTTTTGCGTGTCTGTGTGCCCTCCACTTTTGGTTATGAAATTGAATTGCTGCGCCTGCACATATATTTATTAAATTAACGAACGCCCATCTACTCGCATTAAATTTCCAACATCATTAAACATGTTTAACTTATTCAGAAAGAATAAGTGTTAAGTAAAAACCAAGATTCATAAATATGTATGCTAAATGGATTGCATTCTTATTGCCAACAATAATTAAAAGTGTTTATTGCAGGATGAAAATATTAATAAAGCTATCAGAATAATATTTATAATAATAAGTTTAAATATAAAAGTGAAATTAATCTCGCGAAAATACCTTCAAAGTCAAACAAGGCCTATCAACAATTGTCTGAACGAAACTATTTAATTAATCTAACTTTGAAATTACAAAATTGCTCGGTACTAAACCTAAAAAAATACTATTAAGTTGGGAAATATTTACCAACACTTGCACACAATTTTATGGGCACTTTAAACTGAATGCCGTTTATTTGACATGGGCATTTAACCAAATTTAATATCTGCCCAGCTCGACCCAAATTACAAAACAAATAACATTTTATAAATACAATTTCGTTACCTACGATGACATTTACTATTTTTATCGTGAAAATACCTTTGCCACATTCAATTTAACATTTTCAACAGCCAGCAAAAATGTCAGCAAGAGGGAAAATCTAGAAAAACTCTGGGAAAATGCTGGGGCAAAATGGTTGGAAAACATGGAGCGAGTGTACAGAAGATAAACAATGTGAAATGTAGAAGGAGCTGAAACAGATTTTCCGACTGCAGTAATAAATGATAAACAAGTGCAAGCTGGCCAAATGGGCGTGGCAGTGGGCGGTCGTGGTGGGGCATGGGTATGGGGGTTTTTCCATTTCCCAGTTGCTAGGCTGATATTGAAAACTGCTGCCTGCAAAGCTAAGCAAATGTTGCCCTGCGTCGGTGTGTGTGCGTGTGTGTGTGTGTGTCTTTTCACACTCTTGCATTATTTATGCAGGCCATGCGTGTGTGAGTGTGTGTGTGAGCCTCGTACGTGCCTCGAACTGCAACGGCAGCTGCTCCTGTTCCAGGACACAGAGTCACCAGTAACCAGTAGCCAGGATCCACCGGGCAGCCTCCCAAACTCCACTCCCGCACCAAAAAGCGCCCCTGTGTGCGCATATACATATATTTATTCCATGTACATATTGTAAGTGCCCCATGCCTCGTGTCAAACTTCTAATTAACCTCGTAATTCATGCAGCCTGCACGGCGCAGAGGGCGGAGGTCCTGGGGTTCGAGGATACTGTATACAGGACAAAGGGTGACTGCTGGCCTTTATTGTCCTGCGGATGGCGGAGCTCTGGAGAAACGTGGCCGAGCAAGTGACCCAGAAATTACCAGTTACTGGCTTATAAATGGCAATATTTGATGGATTTCAAGGCATTATTTTGCCATCCCAAGGAATGCCAAAACTAATTTTATTTCTTGACTTTGGTTCGTTAATTTGTGTGCCTAAGAGCACAAAATATTTAATTTATTTATGATAAATTACAAGGGCTTTGCTGTTTTCTAAACCTTAAACACTCCCATTACCATAACGATTTTAATTAGTTTTTTGAAATGAAATTGCCTGCCAAAAAATATGTTGTTTAATTAATTTGTAATCAATTTAATTTGATTATAATTAATAAACAGAGTTTTTGAATTTAAATCAATGCACTGAAATAATTTTATGCAATATAAATATTTAACTTTCACATTACACTTCAATGGAGTTAAATATTGAAACACCAGATTCGTTTCGACGCCTCGCAAAATGCTAAAAGTATTCAGAGCTTAGCTATTTAACTTTATTATTATTATTTTTTGGTGGCAATGAAGTGATTGAAATAGTAAACCCAACATTATTAAAAGCAAACAAATTGCAAACTCTTTACCAAACGCAATCCCAAAAAGTAGGCAACATTTTCGTGCAATTTTCTGCCTGTTTTTGTCAATACACATTGAAATTACAATATTTAATTGGTTAGTTGGCATGTTTAAACGAAAAACAACAAGCCATGAAAACAAATAAAACATAAATTGAATTGAATTCGATGATTAATTGTTAAGGGCCATCAAGACAGTTGAACAAATTACAAATTGTACAACAATTATAGCCGAATGTTGTGCCTGTAAAGTTGGTAAATATACAAATTAAACAGATATAATAATTAAAGCCAGGCATTGAAGTGTTGAACGACATTTCAAAGTTTTTCGGCGGCTAACTTCTCCGACTGACTGTGCAATCAAATGTTCAATTGCCACTTATTTTGCGGCTGGCCATGGACAACATCAAACCACAGCACTTAATTCTGCAAGTCAAGAAGACCAGACAAAAAAAATGGGTAAAAAATGGAATAAATAGAACAAAATGTACAGAAAACCAGCGAACAAAGGGAGACACAAAGTCGTTATTGTCTTAGTTTTATTAAAATGCGTTCTTTTTTTTTTTATTTTTTTGCTTGGAAAAAAGCAACTTTCGCAGGCAAAAACTTGTCAAAGGCAATGGCCAAAAATGGAACTCTGGCAACAACCATTTCAGCCAATTTGTGTGCAATTTAAAGTGTCCGAAGGGGGAACGCAGTGCTATATAGTACATACACAAAAAGTTGCCAACTATTTAGCCGAGGCTGCGGGGCGGGGGGTCAAGGGGTCAAGGGGCCCCAAAAACTTGGCAGACACGGACACAGATGAGCAGACCGCAATGGAACTGACCGCGGGGATTCACTGTCCCGAAAAAAACAAGATTGCTAACATTACCAAAAAATTTTGGTTTTATTTATACCATTTTCAAAAAGAAAACTTAAAACGCAGCTTAAGTAATTTTTACTAATAAATAAAAAGAGGTTTTATTCTTATTTTTTATTGATCAGATACATTACTCGTTAGTAAAACATAATATTGATAAGATTGATTGAAAAAGATGTAAAGATAATTAAAAATGTTTATTTTGGTAGTAAAAATAATGATTTTTGATGAGTTTTTTCCATTTACAATAAGATGCTAAAAAATACTTTCAAATCCATTTTATTAGTTTTTTTTTTGATTGGTTTGTATTTTCGAAATAAAATCCTTTTTATAAAACCATAAAGTACAATAATAAGAAGTTGTATTTAGCAAGTTAGCTTAATATTATTATTTTTTCTTTTAGTGTAGGGATGCTTTGGCCATAAAGCGTTCAGCGTCCTTTGAAAGGGGAGGTGGGTGGTTTTAGGGGGTTAACACTGCTGCATTAACGCTGACCGAAAAATCTCTGCAGCTGAAGTTGAGCTTACATTTTTTTTTCACCCCGAAAAAAAGACGTAAAAAAAAGTATTTCGCGGACAAAGCAGCCAAGCCCCCACTGACCCCCTCACCCTTGTTGTTGCAACAATAACGGTACATTACAAGTGGCAGGCGAAAGGATCGAGTTAGTTAGTTTGCCACCACCCCCATTTCCGCCCCCCTTTTACTGCGCCCCTGTCCACAATTTCTGCGGTCTTGTTAGTCTGGGCTGGCAAGTTGGTTAAAAAGTTGTTGATGCAGTTACTCCTGCCACGCCCCCACCGCACCGCTCCGCCCCCTTTTTGCGACGACATTTGTGCTAATGGCTGCCAACGACCTGGACACAAAACCCAAAAACCCCCTCCTTCTGGACAAGCCACCACATGGCAAACATGTTGCATACTCTGCGGCGTAAGCGAAAAATTTCAAGCGAACAGCTTTTTGGCCAAGCAAACACACAGTGGGTTAAGTGGACGAGTTTGCCACAACATTTGTGTTCAAGAATAATTAAATTAAGCTGTCAGTCTGGGCGAGAAAATTAAAAAAAAAATGAACGAAATTATGTTGCACTTTTAAAATGTACACTTCCAACAAGTTTCCGTTCAAAGGGCTGATTTAATGGCAGTTTGAAACCATTTTGTTTTCGAGTTTATTAAAACTAAGTAATTACATCAGTCATTCTTTGCATAGCATTTTTAATGGGTTGTGATAGCAATTTCTATAAAAAGTTTGCTCAAATGTGTTTAAAATTATAACCCTTGCCTATAAGTTTTTATTTATAGCGATCAAGGTAATGCAAAAGATTTAGAAAAAACAAGCGAAATAAAGAAAATATGTTCTGATCAGTTTGATTTGTCGGTGTATTCATTTGTATCCTCTGCTTTCTCAACGGAAAACTCCTCCTTGGAATTCTCCTCATTCATATTTTCCAACTCCTCAACGGCAGTTATTAGTTCGATTTCCGGTGGATTATGCAAATCACCTTGAGAGCTGGCATCTCCATTCGACTCCCGCTCCAGTTCATTTTCGCGAACAGTGAACTGCATGCCAATGTCCTTCGTGTAATCCTCGGTGAGTTCCTTCATTTCGCGATGGGTGAACCGCATGAAGAGCGGACTGTCACACAGGAGGTCGCACTGTTCGAGAATCTCGGAACTGGGACAGGTGTGGATCATTTGGTGGCGTGGCACGCCGTCCAGACTCTCATCCGTCTCCACGGTCACCATCAATGGTGGCTGGGCCTGGGGACAGAATAGCCAAAGGATGTACAGATGGGTGATCCGCGGACCGGCGGGCATCGAGTCCCACGAGGTTTTCCACAGCATTACGAACACGGGCAGACGACCCTCCCAATCCGCATAGATCCTGGGTAGATTCGCATTCAGGGCCACTTGTTTGCCGCTCTCGAAGATCAGCAGTCCCACACAGTGGCTCTTGGTGGCCCGGCTTTCCAGCAGCGATTTCCCAAAGACCTTCACACACTTTGCCTCTCTGGTCTTCGCCTCCAAAGTGATGATCTCCTGGTGATACATTAGGCAGTGACTTAGGAGATTGCCGGGATTCACCACCACATCACAGTTGCCCAGGGGACAGGGAAAGGCCATTTTCTGCAGTCGCCAGTGTTCCTTTTGCTCGGCTGCCAAGTTTCTGTTGCGCTCGTACAGCACTTCCGGTGAACTGCTGCCCTTGAGGGTGGGAACGGCTATGATCTCCGCCCCGCCGCGCATGGGAACACTTCCGCCCGCCGGAAGTGACAGCTGGCAGTCCATATATAGACGCCTTCCCCGATCGGGCAGGAAATTCAGGCGCGTTATGCAGATCTCGACCTCCTCGTCGGTGGCATTGCCATCGTTCTCGCTCTCCAAGTGCCGCCGATTGGCCATCATCGCCCCCGATGTGGTGTCCAATGAGTACTCCGACTGGGCGTAGCCCAGAATGGCCGATATGCCGATCCCAGTCCCCGAATCCTTGCCCAAACCCCCCGATGTCGATGGTCGCTCACCCTCGCCCTCGGCGCTCTCCATTTGAAAACTGCTTTTTAAGGTGTATTTTCAAGACCGGAAATTTGTTCGGATTTTGTGCGTGTCGAAGTGTTTACGTCTCGAAGTGAAATTATACTTGTGACACTACAGATTTTAGCTGCAAAGGCTGCTCACTATTATTCCATTTGTATATGATTGTTTATTTTAGAAAATTATGCAACATTTTAGTTTGATTTGTGTGCCTAAGTTTGCATATCTGAGCAAATTAAACATTGGAATTCATTGTTGTTTGAAGTAATAACTTAAAAACTAACCACCAAATCATGAATAGTTTTTTTTAATAAACTACCAAAACGGACTAACTTTTCTTTAATTTTTTACTTTTCAAGAGATTTTTTTAGCGAGCAGAACTTTTTTTGATAATGCTTAAGGATTTTTTATTGCAGAAAAATATGATGTAATACAAAAAAGCGGCTTACAATTTTTAAAGAGGAATTCCTGGACTGAAACTGATACAATGCCATCAAAACTCTAGTGAACATTTTGATGCATTTGTAATTTCCGGTTTCACACACACACACACACACACACATACATGAACAGTTGAAAAAGAAAATGCGAAGGAAAAATGTGTCAACATACAAGACAAAGCAAAATACAAACAAAACTCAAGTTCCCTCTGTAAAACAACGAAATGCAACTAAAGTGTAGAAAGAGAGGGGTAGTGGCGACAAAGGGAGAGAGCAACAGTCGGACTAGGACTCGGAGCTCCCTGCGGCCACGCCCCCTTTTCCTGCAACTCCTTTGGTTTCAAATCGACAATGGAATGTACCGCCGCAGAGGAAGTGCGGTCTATGGCGGTAAAATCGGACTTAAATCAACATATGGCTAGCAAATTTAAGTTATCAAATAATTTAGAATTTAAATCTTGTTCTTTTATCCTCATAAAGTTGTTTAGTTTTCTTATAATAAGATAAACCTTATTCTTTCACCGTATAATATTAATATAAGAAGCTAAAAGCTATTTTAAATTATTTTACTGTTGTAAGTCCTGTTAAGAAGCACCAAAATATAAAAGGAATACTTGTTATTTAACTTGGAGAACTAGGCAAAATAAAACAGAACCGTCACTGTTAAATAAATAATATTTTCAAGAACTTCTCCTACAATTGTGTCGTGCAAGTTTGAGGCAATAAAATATGCGAGTTGAGTTACGTGCATGCGCCATTTGTTTATGGCTTTCTCCCTTTTACTTATTAGCTTGGAGTGAAAATTCCGCCTCCTTCACGGACATTTTTCCCCGGTTTTCCACCATTTCCCCGACGCATCGTCGGTGGCTTTTCCCTTTCGAGCTGTTGAGCTGCATTTGTCAGTTGCGAGTGCAGCCAACCGCAAATAGAAAACAAGACAAAGCCGTTGTTTCTCTGGATTTGTTGACATCCTTAAGACGACTTTCCATTGCTTACCCCCTTTTGCTTCAATTGAATTTTCACAATTTGACAGCCAGCTTTGGAAATTAACCCATCATCAGTGGCAAAACTCACCTAAAACGAGAAGAGGGAATAATACAAATTAGTCAACGAGTCAGAAATAGAAGCGTTCGCGTGAAAGAACAAACAAGACGTGGAAGGTTAATTGGGAAAATTTTAACTTTGAGCTTGCTTATTTACACACGCAGACCCCCGGGGCAACATGGGGTTAAGCATAAGGTTCCTAAAGAGCATATTCGCCCATAAAGATTTCCATTTCCCTGCTGCTGTCTTAGCAACAACCCAAACAACAAACAAACAATTGTGCAAGCAGTTAATTTGTGTACTCCGACAATCTAGCATCACCTCTACACTCGGAAAAAAGTGCACTGATTATTTTTAAACTGATATGGTATTAAATAGACTATTATTTTTGGTATATTCTCTAAGAAAGAATTTTTCGTAATTTAATTTATTGAATATTTTAATTTATTTTTTTAAGTATATATTTAGAAATTTAAAACAAGAATAAAAATGTTGTTGCAGTGCTCAATTCGCTGTGTAGGGTACATGATAATATAACTGCCAGTGGCAGACAATTGAAAAGGCAGTGCACACATGGCATATACGCAATGTGCCAAAGTTTATACGAAATTAATGTTAATTACAACGCGAGTGAAGCTATCCATCTCTCTCGCACCAACGCGGCAACATCTGTGTCCTGTCAGGAATTGGGCAGAAAATGTGGGTGGAAAATTGTGGAAATGGCAGGGAAATGGGGAATGCAATTTGCCAGCAACGCATTTAACAAGCTGAAAGCGCTTAAGCCGAAGGATTCAGCATTGAATGAGTCGACAAAGGTGCATCGAATCGCACTGAAAGGGAATGATTAATAACCATAATCGATAATTGTGAAAAATGGATAGCTGATGGATGGATCGTGAATTGCTATAGATATACACATACTTGACTTTACTAAAAAAAAGATACATGTAATGACATGTTTAGTTGTCATGCTTACTAATATTGTGTATATAATTTTAAGAACTATATGTTTTAACCTATTAGAAATAACAATTGCATTTGTGTTTATTGAAAGAATTCAAGTTGGGGATATTAATCGTTCAAATGATATAAGGCCAATATTTTATAAGTAATCTCCCCTCATTTGCTGATTAATTGAAGAATTAACTGAATGACAGATTCCATTTATTTTTGTTTATAATAATAGCGCAAATCATCGTTCATCTTTATCGGGCAATCAATCGAATTCACCTTTTGCCATGCCGATAAATCCAGCTAAAGCCATTCGGTTGGACAAAAGCAGTCAATTTTTCGTGTTTTATTTTCGCCCTTACATATATATACATATATATATCTACTTTTTATATATTCTTTGCTGTGTTTTGTTTGCTGAATTGAACAACTTCTGCCAGCTGCGGGGATTCCCATGATTCTCCCCACCTTTCGCCGTGATGTGGCACAAATGGCAATGCGCTTAACGTGTTCCGTGTTGCTACTGTGCCGCTGATGTTGCCACTGCTGCAATGCAACAAAGACAGCCGTGCCATGCCACGCCCCCTCCTGCAGCTGCGAACGCCCTCGAAAGGACACCTTGGCACCCACGCACAGACACAATTTATAAAAGCCACAACAAATGTCTGAGGCTGCTGTAAACTTTCCGTAAATCTTTGCAGCAATGTCTGCCAGCGGCAGCAACAATAGCAACACTAGCAACAACAATAGCAGCACTAGCAACTGCAACTGCAACAGCAACAACAACAACAACAGAAGACAAGGACGATGGCGATGACGTCGTCACGCGGATGTTTCGACGCGACTCTGAAGGATTTTCATGGCTGGTGGCTAGGGTTTTCCTCGTTTTCCTCGTTTTCCCTTTTGTAGTTGCTGCCGTGCACGTCTGTGTTGCTGCCGTGTTGCTGGTGTTGCTGCTGCTCCCGGTGGCTTGTGTTGCATGTTGCCGTCAGCATGTCAGAGCCCCCAACACGTTGGAAAATGCGCTTACACACATGTAAGCACATGTTGTAAAAGGACACGCAGTTAAAGTCGACTTTCAAGTGCCCTTTACATAAGTGAATCCACATTTACTGCTTGTGGTTTAATAATCAAAGTGTGGACTTTTAAAATAAGTCAAAAAATATGATTCAGAAAATTCAAAGAGACAATGGAAGACCTTTATTACAATATTCACTAAACTTGTAAAATATTATTTTGAAATTAGCAAAAATTGTTTTGAAATAACATGCACCTTAAGGTAACCATTTTAATACAAAATATAAAGAAACAACTTATTGTTTATAACATTACACATTTAGGGCCCCAGTTTTTTTCAAGTTATTAAATTAAAATTAACTACTAGTTCACGAATTATTAGTTTTGTTCATTTAAAACACATTAATTTCCATTTAAGATCATATTTTTTAAAACTTCAAGAGGAATAGGAAAATTGCTTGAGTTATTGAACTCTACTATAGGGTATATTTTAACAATTCCGCCCGCAAAACACCCGAGGAAAAGCGTACATTGTCAGCATCTTAGCGCTTTTCGTGACAGCGTTTTCTTGGCACTGACTGTTAACATTTTGCTAGCTTTCCCAGCTTTCCCGGCCTTTCCATCAGCTGTTGTTCGCCGGAGCCTTTGCTTTCATTAAGCTAATCCAGACATGATCATGCATATATAAATGCGCACCTGAAGGGAAAATGGAAAAGCCCAGACAGAAGCGTTGAACCCGGAGACGGGGCTTTTCCTGACGCTCAAGCGTTTGCAGCATTTTCATTTTTAATATACACAAAAACATGCATGGGTTGGCTTTTCCCCGCTTTTCTCCGCTTTTCCTCGGGCATGACAAACTTTTTTATGTAAATTCTGAGTCTGCTGCCTCTGTTGTTTTACTTTCTGCCTGCACCTGTGTGCCCGTCATAAGAATAGGTATGGAAAAACTTTTCTCCGCAAAATATTGTTCAAAAAAGGTTCAAAAACACACAAACACACACACACAAATAATAAGAAAAATTTAAAGCAGATTGAAGATTGGGAGTAAAAATTCCTTCTAATCGAATCAAATTTCCTCGAACATACTTTTCAGGTAACTTCCAAAACTTTTGCCCAAAACACTTGACAAAGTTTCAATTGCCTTGGTTTTCGGCCAGTTCAAAGTTCAGGGATTCCCCAATCAAACCCCTAACTTTTGGCCAAACAAATTTTGTGGCCAATGCAGCTGGCATAAAAGCTGGAAAATTAATTGAAACCGAATAGATAAGTTCAGAAAGCGAACGAAGGGCGCAAAAGACGGAGGGCCAATGATTGATTAAGACCGGCTTTTCCCCGGGAAATTGCGGGGGGAAATGCCAGAAAAAGTCAAGTCGCATTGAGTCGAATGGAATCGAATCAAGTGGAGTCAAGTCGAGTCATCATCAAATGAGATTAGACAGTCAGCCGGGAGATTAGACGCTCGCACTGACCTGAGACATCGGCGGATATATGGAGGGGTATATATGTACATATAGAAGTATAAAGCCTGGCAGACGACGACAGACATCTGTCGATGGCTTCTCAATAGTCATTTTCCGACGAATACTAAATTGCCTTTAATCCACTTTATCATCGACACC